TCAGCTGTCTTCTCAAATTGGAGCTTAAAGACTTGAAATGGGATTTTTCCGTCAAAAGATGGCGTTTTTACCTTCGGAGCGTTCACTGGAGCGGTTGGACGATTTAGCTGTAATTCCCGGACACGACTTTTCAATGCGTTGATTTCGATCTCAATTAGATCTTGCCTTTCCTTAAGTTCCGCATTGTTCCTCACCAGGTTTTGCTGTATTTGCTCTATTGTTCCTTCCAAGGATGATATCTGCTCTCTCTGTTCAAGTATTTGTGCATCCATCTTCTGTGAGATGCTGGCATTCTGTGCATCCATCTTTTGTGAGATGCTGGCGATGCTGGTACGCGCGTTGGGTAGTTGCAGCCTAAACCTCACGTTTGTCATTTCGGCCTCAAAAAAGTTATAGGAAAATCGTTCTACGAGCTGACGGGATATGTCTTAATGCATTCGTGACATATGATATGTTGGATCAAATGATCGGAAGCCTTCTTGCAGGATTTCCCTACTTCCATCTGACATAAGTTGGAATATTAGGTCGTCCGCCATGACTTTTAAGTAAACTGCGTCAAAGGTTCCAGCTTTGTCTTTGATTTGATAAAGATCCGCTTTCTCAAAAGTATTAAAATAAGAAAGAGAAATGAAAAATAGGAATATGTAAATATAAAACGACTATTTATCACTATTGCTTCGAGATTCTCCCTCCAATTTTTCTTCGACCTCCTTGGCCGCATCTATGCTCTCTAAGGGCAATGTTGTAGCGATTTCAACTTGAAGATCGTCTTCATCTGCACCAGTTATTCGTTTCAATGAGCGAAGTGCCTTTTTTATTTTGTTTACTGTTCCGCTGCCTTGCACTTGGGATGGTATTTCAATAATGGCGAATATTTTCATATGTACATGCACGAACTCTACAAATAAGTTCGTGTTATTCCTTGCAAATAAGATAGACCAGATTCACATTCAGATGTTTTATTTAATTCATTATTTTAAGGTTAGGTCCGGCGTGGTTTTTATGTTGTATATTCTCGTCGGCTTTGGCGCTGCGAATGATTATACAAAATAGAATACTTTAAGTTTAAACATTAGGCAGCATTCTTAAACCTAAACATATGAAGCAGTATTCTAAAAAGGAACTTATCTGGTGCTGCCGGATGGATATTATGTGCGAGGTATAGGTGGCGCTAACATCCCATCCTCCGGCGAATCCTGGTGAAGATTCGTAAACTCTAAAGCGGCTAGCCTCGAAAGGACGTCGCCTAGTTCCGGTGCTTGTATTGAGTCAAGGCATCCCAAAAGAAAGTGGCTGGGAGTCAGCGGTTCTGGATTCTGTCGCGGGAGAGGAATATCAATCAACGGGCGACTGTTGATAATATTCTCCAGTTCTATGACTACGCTGCGAAAGGTCTCCAATTGAGGCGCCTTTTTCTTTGGTATGCGATGCAAATTCGTTTTACACATTGGATGACCTTCAGCTGAATTGGCTGGACAGCTAAACTTCCAATCAATCCTATCCTAGGAAGTCTAGAGTTGATTCTCCCATTAATCCGAAAGATCCCGTCCATATCTAGCTTAGGAGTTAGTTGAAATAATGTGTTCGACTTTGGAAGGCACCTATTAGCTTGTAGTACATTCAGTTCGAGTTCATAATCTGCGAATTGTGCTTGGCAACAAACGTACTTCTCACCACCTAACACCTCACTTCGCGTTAATGCACCACTGTTGCGCAATTAAAATTCTCTTAGCGCATTTTTGTAGCTTCATCAGGTATGTTAAGTGCTGATGGAACCCATCGCCATTGACATGACGTGGAAGTGTCAAGAAGCTCTGCTATACGGGTTGCTTGAAGTCACTTGTAGTTGAACGGACACAGTAGCACACTATTGACATTTGGCACGGTTGTTGTTTGTTTTGGCACACATCTGGATTTGGCTGCTACAAAGGCAACTTGAGTGTTATTGAGATTTGCGGCGGTGTAGGCGGCCACGCTTGCATCAACGAATATGTGCAGATGAAGATCTTTGGCTGAAGAGTACATCAGTGGATAACAGCGAGGTGTCGAAAATTTGTCGACCTCTTGAAGCATTCTCCACCCTAGTCGTCCTAGTCGATGTTTTGCCTCCAAGTGTCATGCAATAACAACTGGAATAGTAACGTTGGCTAGAAACCCAAACGGATCGTAGATGGCCATTGCTAGGTCTAAGAACTCTCTCTTCGAAGGTGACCCCTTACCCTCTGTGACCTCTTTTAGAATTTTCTGGAAACTAAAATGAAACTCGACCATGCCATTGGCTGAATTTTAATACATACCCAAAATTTTCTGGAACCTAAAATGAAACTCGACCATGCCATTGGCTGAATTTTAATACATACCCAAGATTTCTTCTGTTTTCGGCCGAAAACAATAAAAAATGAGTTTACCGAGACATTCGAAACTATTGCTGCTGCATCGAAGACCACACGAAGTTTATTTGGCTTATGGAAATTAACAACTCCAAAATGTGATAAGTACCAGGTAGTAGGATCTTCCTGGATGGCTTCAGACTCTGACAATAACCTGGCATACTCCTTTTCGATGTTTTTTTAATAACGGCTTTATATGTAGTGGCATATTGGACGTCTTTTTACATTTTGCTTTCCACGTTGAGCAATCTTCGTTTGGCCGTCTCGCAGCTGCGGGGCGAAACGATATTATCTTCACGCCACAACAGACCTACTTTATATATATATTATATGTTCGGATGATGTAGGAGGGGATTGTGCACGCGACGAAATCCATGAATTCCACACTCTTCTTTTTGCTGACCGCGTTATAAGCAATAAAAACACAATACATTGGCATTTACGAAATTCCACCTCTGATGAACGCCGAGCAACTCAAACGGCTGAAAAGATGACAGAAGGTGACTTTGACTGCATTTTATGTACGATTGTGGTCCCACCTTTTCTGGTTGCTCTGAGCTGACCATTAAGCGACGTGGACGAGATAGTATACGACTTATTTGACGTGTGTGTGATGAAATATGATACAATGAGAAGGCGCAGATGTTAAGTCAAATGTATAGCACATACCAAGACGCAATGGGGAACCAGTCGAAATTGTAGACGCAACCCAATAGGGAACTGGAAAAGGTAATTCCACACACAATTTGAAAGAAGGAAATGATCAACTTGCATAGTGTGCCTTATTTGGCCTGTGTGCATGTGCTTTTATGTATGTAATCCACGTATAGATGACCTAACATTGTTATTCATCCACTTTAGGTAAAATTATTAAAAAATATTTAAATAAATAAAAAATAAAAATTGTCTCAAACTCGGGCCAATCATTTCATTCCAACATATTATTGTTATTTTTGTCATTTTGATTACGTGTAAATACAGAAATTCAGAAACCCTAAAAAATATTCAAAAACTTAATAGTTTATTAATAGAAAAGTATTATATAAAAAATTGTATTAAAAAAATGTTCACCTTTCGAGTTGGATTTGAACTCGAGCCAAACGAATATCTTCAGTTTCAACTCCATCACAATAAAGCGAGTTTACGCCGCATTTAAGATTTTTGCAAACTCAAACTAAATGAGTATGTCAGGTATTTAAATATGTATGTATATAGGTTTTTATATACATATTTATATACGTATATTTATTTCCTTTGTCTTAGCATCAGTTCAATTATGTAAACTATTTTATGTTATTCAATTTAATTTATTTTATTTTGTATCTCGATTATGTTTTATTTCATTTATTGTAATTTATTTAATTAAACTAATTTTTTATTATTTTTAAATAAATTTTATTTTATTTAATATTTCTAGTCCTATTTCATTTTGTTTTTTTTTTTTTATTTCATTTTATTTTATTTCATTTCATTTAAATTGATTTCATTTGGTATGCGTTCGACATACATATCCATATGTAATCAGCTTAATTTATATGAAGGTGTACGTGGGTTGAATATAGTAAAATCTGCATGCTTAGTAAAAGAAGATTTAATTCATAAATTACATGTTTTCATTCACTATTCCTTCCGTATTCCCCTATACTCAGCGATATTTTGATCATCGGTGAATTCAAGAATAACAGCAACGCTCATATGCATGCCATCATACCTTTATCCCTTCTTCCCTCCACATTCCAAAGTCACCCATGAGCGACTTCTACTTGACGATCATAGCATATTGCAGAATTCAAGTTGAAGCTAAAATTCGATTCAAATGAAGAAAAATAAAGTTAAAATAAAAGAAATGTGCCTCATGTGGGAATCGAACCCAAGCTATCAAGAAAAATTAAAATAGTTTCCCATCACTTAAACCGCCTCAGCTACAATAGCACCTTGAAATAAATGTGGGCGATTGCTATTTGAACTTATTTATGGTCAGGTAATGGAACGTCTTTCCATCGTCATCGATTTGGGTTTCCGGATTCTGAATTTTCACTGCCGTCATCGATTGGGGTTTCCGGATTCTGAATTTTCACTGCCGTTCCGCAGGTTGAAGAAGGCTTCCCTCCATAAATTCAATATACTCTGGGCATCGGTGGCTAGATCACCTCTTTGTGTCCTACAAGAGTCTGCACCGGTGTTGAAACCTTCCGTAAGTCATTGTATCTTCTCATAGAATTTTCGAGCTTTATCCTTGCTGGCCAGCTTCTCAAGCTCTTCATACTTTAGTAGGGAGTTTGCGTTGCCGTCCCACAGGTCCCGTATACCGAGGAGTGCAAGTCGAGTAGAAAATCGTTCGGCAGTCTGTTGTGATTGCAGCTTTTCAACGTCGAGCTTTCCTTGTGTTTGTTGACGGGCGTTCCTTGATACACAGATGCGCATACGTATCTTCACTGCAGCCAGATAGTGGTTCGAGTCGATGTTGGGTCCCCGGAGTGTACACACGTCAAGAAAACTGGAGACATGTCTTCCGTCTATCACAACATGATCGATCTGGTTTTGTGTTTTTCGATCAGGGGACAGCCAAGTAGCTTGATTTTTTTTTTTGTGCTGGAATCTAGTACTACAGACAACCATATTTCGGGACCTGGCGAAGTCGATCAGCCTCAACCCATTAGGGGATGTTTCGTTATGAAGGCTGAATTTTTCAAAATTTTTTTCTTTGCCCACCCTGGCATTAAAATCGCCAAGCACGATTTTCACATCGTGTCGGGTGCAGCACTCGTAAGTATACTCTAGGCGCTCATAAAAGGCATCTTTTGCCAAATAGTCCTTCTCTTCCGTCGGGGCGTGAGCGAAAATCAACGATATGTTGAAAAATTTCCCCTTGATACGGATTGTGGCTAGACGCTCACCTACTTGGATGAATGCCAGTACTAGACGACGGAGTCTCTCTCCCACCACAAATCCAACACCAAATTTGCGTTCCTTTATATGGCCGCTGTAGGAAATGTCACAAGAACTTACTTCTAAAAGAGCTTAGGCAAAACAAATTAACCTTGTCTTCTTTCCTACATCTCATTAATTTGAGCAGTCCTCGTTAATAATAATAGCTTTTGCAATGTGATATAAAATACGAAGAACAACTCAACTGTGAAATCCATTAAATTGATTGCAGAAAAATGTGATCGGCTTCCACAATGAAAATAGAATACTGGCCGACACTCGCAGATGTAATCACCTAAAAGGTAACAAGATTTAGGGTGGTTTAAAACAGGAAAAAAAATATTCTTACAAATTTTTTAAGCCAAGAGAAAGAATATTTGGTTAAATTATTGTTTTAGTTAGATAAGGAGTTCTTATTTAAGTAAGATGTAATCACCTAAAAGGTAACAAGATTTAGGGTGGTTTAAAACACAAAAAAAAATATTCTTACAAATTTTTTAAGCCAAGAGAAAGAATATTTGGTTAAATTATTGTTTTAGTTAGATAAAGAGTTCTTATTTAAGTAACTAGCATTTAATTTTTTTTAAACAGGAAGCACTCCAAACACCAACTTTTTAAAAATCCAGATAATACACATTCTCAACACTATGTGGAACATAATAAATCCCAACCACGCAAAATACAGATAACACAATATCCTGGCAATAAAAAGTCCCGACAGCCAAGTACTAAGTTGCTTTTTGTTTTTATTCAAATCCTCCTCCACCAATTTGTGGTTTTGCGTTTTGATGTTTTTCCAACAAATGGGACTACAGTTTATACTAAGCCGCCTCAGAACGGCTGATGCTTTTATTTCATGTCAGAAATACACTCGGAGGGGTTGACCGCAATTAGAAAATTTAACTTAACTTTATTTTTTTACTTAAATTAATTTTCTATAATTTTATTTGGATGTTAGAACGACATCAGGATTTGAACTCGAGCCTTCCGAATACCGCGGCTATAAACTTAATAATCAGATGTTGCTGCATAATTAAGAAAAGGTCACCCTAATGTTTAAGCACATTTATAAGAGGCGATAATTTTAAATGCAGCTTTCCAGTTGCTTCGATTTCTCATTGCAATATCCCGTATAATGTCAAATTCATATAAAAGATCTATAAATTTATGTTGTGAAATTAGTTCTGGTCGCAACTTAAAAGTAAACAAATAAGGAAGTTTGACGTATCAGAATTATTAATATTCAAAAAAAAACATGGGGATTATTTTCATAAAGGTAAAAATCCAGTATTGGTGCACTGAAGCAACAAGTCGTTAATTTCCAAAAAAATGTTTTTGTTCGCAGTATTTTCTTTTTGGAATTGTGCTGGTTATTGATCAACGCCACATTGTGAAGGGATATCCTAAATCCAACTTGGATACAGCACAAGCCAGCGCTGAGGCGGTTCGTACTTATTTTATACGGATTCTAGCAATTAAGCATTCATAGATTTATGCATTTCACATTCATATGTACGTATATATGTTTCATTTCTATTAGCAATCAATTGGTGATGGTGCAAGCACAGTAGCTGTCGCTTCAGCTGATGTAGATTTGGATCTTAAAGCCTCTGAAACTCTCGGTTTCGGTTACTACCCCAGTTTTTATGGTGGTGGTAGCCTTCACGATGTGGGTTACGGCGGTTATGGTTATGGCAGCCGTTGGGGCTACGGCGGTTACCATGGTTATGGCGGATATGGAGGATACGGCGCTTATGGTAATGGTTACTATCGTCGACCCATCTATCCAGTTTGGGGTTAAAAAATTAAGATGCATTATTTAAGTGAATTTCCGTTCTGAATTTGTACCTACCATTTTATATAAAATAAAAATAAATGTCTTCTATTATAAAATGTCCAAAGACGGAGTCTTAGCATTTCGTTTATTTGAAATAATTTTATTCAATGTTTGTTTACACATTTTTATGTATGTATTTATGTTCAACGCAGTTATGATTTTCAGCATTTGCTTAAATTAAAATATTGAAACATGACTGTAGGTTTGTCAGTTTAGTCATGGTGTAAGGGATTAGGGCCATTGAGCTGATAAGTTTAAGCCCCAGCTAAAAATCACAAGTATGTACGTATAATGCTAGAAATCCAATTCTACCGAATATGCTTTTAAAGTAAGACTGATAAGTATATGACGTTTTCCAATTGCTAGGCCAAAATACTCTTGTGGTGATATAATATAATTATAAACGAAAGAAATTATTACGAGCATTTAACATTAGTGCTGCAACTACCCACCTTACATAGTTCCCGGTCATAGCAACATATCTTATGAGAGCGCAATATAAATGAAAACTTGTCATCGCTTGCCTATGCCATTACTGACTGTTGTCCCCGAGGAATCAGCGGCGATTTAATTTTTTTTTCGTAAGACTGCCGTTTATATTCGGCCATATAAATTATGATATTTGTCGATGAAAATTATAAATTTGTTTAAAAGTATGTAAACACACTGGCAGCTGGCAACATTTCGTCGCTGTCAGCAGTGTACATAACTCGTGTTTGTATATCTTTCATCCAGTCGGGTGATGCGGCTGTGAGGTATGTAAAATTGGTAGTTGCAGCATAATAAACGTTTAAAAATAACTGTTTGAGAACTTATTAATGTTTGAAAATATATACGGCCTTTTGGGTAAGCAGATGTGGAGGGAAATGTCGAGAACCTGTCCCCTTGACCGTATATATGTATTTCGTGACAGCCACATTACAAACATGAAATGCGACAGGCGAATAGTTATTATTTCGTATTGTAGCGAAAATGCGAGGCGAATGTCAGATGAAAGAGAGAAGCCGATAACTAGTACGTTCTAGAAACGATAAAACAAGAACCTTCCATAGCGAACAATTCGATGCTTCTACGCTTTCGTCTGCGAGCAGCCGACTGCTATATAAAGGCGACACTCAGCTGCAAGTCAAGTTAGTGACAAAGTGAACTGGTTGGCGTTAACATCAGTGAAGTCGTAAAGTGAACGCGTTGGGAATTACATTTAAGTAGAGTAAATTGTGAAAGTTGATGTTAGTGATTATAAATAGTAAAGTGCAGTATAATTGAATTGTGAATTACTGAGAAAATAAAGGACATTAGATAGAATCTTTATAACGAAAGAAACTGCAAATTAAGTTGGCGAGTTTTTATTTAACAATCCAGAGATCGTACCCGAAAGATTTAGGAAATCATCGAGGTTGATTTAGTAAAATCGTAACAGTATGGTATTTGCAAGTGTAAGTGCTCACCATCGTCGCCATCATAATTTAGATTCGTAGGTTGCTTAATAAGTGTTTACTAAGTGTGGGAAGTGGGATTTCATCTATAAGTTACAAAATTATTTAATTCTCGTTTCAATGCGGGTAATTTTTTTGACCACTTTTTGTGGTAGGATCTTATAATAGTCTGTCGATGGGAGGGCCATTTTATCGTTTTCTCCGTAGCAGATATTAGTAAAAATAGGAATTGTATCATACTAAAATATTTCGAAAAAGCATATTTAAAGCACGTTATTTCGAAAAACAGATTCTGATATTTCAATTACTGTAATGCGACATTGTACACTAATTATTGGCGACATTAAGTCGGCATATAACGGTACTTGCTTAAGCAGGCAAATAAATCAAACCAGGAGAAACATGGGAGTAGATACGCACACATTACAGTGGCACATATAAGCGCATATTGTAAAACTTCCTATTTTTTAAAATCAGAGCTGCAGTGTTAAATTTTATTTGTTGTTATCAAAGGAAGAATCATACTCAAATGGACGAAATTGAAGAGCAAGCCACGTTTAACAGCCCATCACAAGAAGGAACGGTTAAGATTTGCCAAGAAAATGCATGTCCTGGACAAAGGAGTGGCAGACTGTTATATTTTAGAACAAGAAAAAATTCAATTTTGGCGGGCCAGAATGCTACAGTTACTGGCACGATCTAACCAAACTAAATGTGGCGCGATCGAAGCGATAGGAGTATCAGCTGGTGGGGAGCAATTTGCTACGATTCCAAGCTTAATCTGGTACCCATAACCCGCATGAGCTCCACAGCATATACAGACCTACTGCAATAAAATCTCATTCCATTTGTAAGGCAAGCGACAGAAATCGATTACGTATTTCAACAGGACAATGTCTCGATATATGCTTCTAGGCGAACGAAGGCATGATTTGAGAGCCAGGAAGTGCATTTACTTGAATGGCCGGCATGCAGTCCGGATTGTAACCCCATAGAAAGTCTGTGTGGGGTAGTGGCAGGGAAAGCTTACAGTAATAGGCGCAAATGCAGGAGCGTCAATGAGCTAAAAACCTCACTTCAGCAATGTCGACTTGATTTGAGCAGAGATTTGCTCGAAAATCTTCTTGAGTCTATGCTAAGCCGCATTGTTGCTGCTATTGAAATTAATTAAATTGATGGCCATACCAGTAGTAAGATTTAGTTAAAAATTGGGGTTTTATTTTATTTTTGACAAAGTGGAGTGTTTTTCTAAATACTGTAATTGATAAAACTTTAAGTTAAAAATATGTAAAACAATAAACTGAATTAAAGCTTTTAGTTATTAGAAACTCAACAAATTTGTGTGGGCTTTAACGAATGTCTACCACTGTATTGTCAATTATTAACTACTTCAATTTTCATTGCTTGGAAAATTCAGCTAATGGCGCAGGTTGACTGAAATGGACGCTTCTCACCTTGCGTAGTAACAGTTTTAAAACCAGTCAACAAAACTTTGCAAGGTACAACTGCATTTAGATATTAATAAGATTTTGATTCGAACATTCATTTTTTATTTCACTTAGAAGTCTTTAAACTTCATAGAAGTCGCAATTATGACAGAGGCATTCGTAAAGCGGAAGAGCTGCGTCACCAACTCATGACACTATTAAAGACCTCTGTATATGCGGTTTGGCTTATATTATTTTGCTGATTTTGAAAACGAATTTATTGTTGTATTGTTATTTCTTTTCTATGCTATATGCATGCATATAAGTATGTACATGTATATATGTAGGAAAAACTTTTGTCAAAGGTGATTTCCTTCGGCATCAACGTTGTCGCTTATTTGTGTTCGGTTTGTGCGTCACTACTGGGTGTTTTTACCTCAAGATTGTTTTCTTTTGCGCAGTAAATATATCGTATGCGTTCACATTCGTATCTAGTTTGTAAAAGGCTTGTATAAGGATAAGGACCAAGCTTTGGTAATAATATATTGTTAATTACTAACTGCTTCATTTTTCAAAAATACCGATATGTGTTTCTAATAGTCCTCTAAAAGGCTCGATTTTCCACAATATCACGTTTAGACTGAATTACGAATATTAGTTTGAAATTCTTTTTTCGAAAAGTCGGCCGTCTCATTGCTTTTGAGTTTATTAGATTATGTTTAAATAAAAACCGAGCAAAAGATTTATTTTTCCTTATAAGCGCCATTAATATTACGTTTGGTGCATCGTCGTCGCTTCCAGAAGCTTAAGAATACATTATCCGCGCTGGACGGTAACAAAGAAGTTTTATGGCTCGTTCGGTCGCACCAGCCTTTTGGTAAGTTATAGAAAATTTGCGTTGTTTTAAAATCAATAATATATTCTTATTTCATGCCTTCAACATTCCTTACATCTCATTCATTAAAGTGGTATGCGGGCAATGATTTCACTGAACTATTTGACTGAATCGTTGATTAAATTAAATTTACTTTATCAAAATTCTATATGAGCATTAATTTTTATAGTGTATCGTTCGTATTAAAGAATTAGGGAAAACTTTAGTATAGAGCCTGTGGTTTATCGTTATGAAATGGTCAGGAATGGTAGTAGTAGATATAAATTTTATCGCGCGCAAGTTTATTGTTTAAAAGTTATCAATATTTTTTTATATAGGAAGCCTGCTTGTATTTTAATTATAAAAACATTAACAACACTTGGCTGGAACAATAAAATAAATAATAAAATAATATGCAGAGAAATAATATAATGAAACAAATGTTAACACTAAAATAAAAAAAATAGCTCGAACCAACATCGGCTTCACAGAATTTCACAGTATTTTTAAGTAAAACTCCTTTGCAAGTTGGCGGTCTTCGACCGCATTTTGGATTGTAACCCTGGGTTCGGGCCAGCACCGGCGTTGCCTTGCACAGTGTTTTCAAATAAAACTCTTGTTTTCACACAATCTACATTATTTATTACTGTTACGATTTTACTAAATCAACCTCGATGATTTTCTGAATCCTTCAGGTACGATCTCTGGATTGTTAAATAAAAATCGCCAACTTAATTTGCAGTTTCTTTCGTTATAAAGAATTTATCTAATGTCCTTTATTTACTCGGTAATTCACAATTCAATTACAATGCACTTCACTAGCTACAATCACTTGCATAAACTTTCACAATTTACTTTACTTAAATGTAATCTACAACGAGTTTACTTTACGACTCTACACTGATGTTTACGCCAACGAGTTCACTTTGTTACTAACTTGACTTGCAGCTGAGTGTCGCCCTTATATAGCAGTCGGCTGCTCGCAGACGAAAGTGTAGAATAATCGAGTTGTTCGCTATCGAAGGTTCTCGTTTTATCGTTCTAGAATGTACTAGTTATCGGCTACTCTTTGCATATAAAAAGTGCAATTTTAAGTGTTAAACTAAGTTAAAATATAAATTAGCACCTGACAAAATTAATATTTTTGATAATTTTAGACCTCCTCTATCAATCCTGAACATTTCATAAAAAAACCACAGGATTCAAACTAAAGTCAACCTAAGAATTAAAATTATTTTAATTTTAAATAAATTTTGTTTTGTTGAAAAAAATCCGATCATATGATCACAAATCAGCTGTTTTTCAAACTTGCTGGTTTTTACTGTCTGAAATTTTCCCAGCACGAATTTGCTACTTCCAAATGTCAATATTGCGCTCTCTCGTTACTCGGGTTTTTGGCTCAACGTACACGATTAGGTATAAACTGTTGGTCTGAGTTTACATAAGGATACTTTTGTCGCTTATTATCGTAATTTTCTATTTTGTGTCGCTTTACGCGTTCACACAGAGATACTTTATTCAAGTAATTTTTTTGAGACTCGTTTCATCTTAATTTTTTTTCTATTCTGCCTTATTTTACACTCGCAATTTTTCATCGCTTCGCGCTTTTTAATATTTCTAAAATAGAAACACTATGTTTGTGTAAAGGAAGGCAGAGCTTTTTTTTATTTACTTCTTTTATGTATTTTTACATTTGATTAAACATCAACTCTACCCTTTCCAAAGCTTAATCTAATTACATATCTTATCGTTTTCACTATCGTCAAAGTCAATGTCTTCAATACTCCCTAATATTTCTTGCATTAATTCAAATTTTCTGCAAACTCCATTATCTGAAATATTTATTAAAAATTGGATACATATACGCCAAAGCATATACATTTCAGGAAAAATCACAGCTGTAGTACTGCGGTACTAAAGATCAGTGATGATATTCGATCCAACATGGATGAAAATAAATTCACCTTGCTTTGCCTACTTGACTTTTCAAAAGCATTTGATATGGTCAACCATGAGTTATTAAGCTGTAAGTTGAAAGCGTACTTTGGTTTTAGTTGTAGTGCTTTAAAACTTGTGAAAAGCTACCTTGTTGACAGGTTTCAATTTGTAAAAATTGGGGAGGACACATCGCAACTCAAGCCAGTTACTTCAGGGGTGCCTCAAGGCTCCATCCTTGGTCCTCTGCTTTTCAGCATATTTATTAATGACATCTTCAGTGTGTGCAAATTTTCAAACCTGCATGGTTATGCTGATGACATTCAGTTATATTTATCTGCACCTTTTGATCAAGCTAAAGAGTTATGTAAAAGCATTAATACTGACTTGGCTGATATCTCTTGCTGGGCGGCTGCCAGCGGTCTAATTTTAAATAAAAACAAGTGCTTTGTGCTGCCAATCAGTGCTAGAAAACTGACAAATCTGGATTTTTTGCCCCCAATATTCATAGACAATTATCCCTTAAAATTAGTCAGCAAGATTAAAAACTTAGGATACATTATTAACTCTAATCTTACATGCACGGATCATGTAAACTCCATAGTTAGTAAGGTCTATCTCATTCTGAGGAATCTTAGGCAGTCAGCTATCTATACACCCACTGCTACCAGACGCCGACTTGCTATACAAATTATTCTTCCGGTCATCATGTACTCTGAAGTCGTATACAGCAAACATGACAGTTTTTCTGCTCGTAAAATTGACGTTATGTTTAATAATGTCACACGGTACGTGTTTGGTCTTTCCAAATATGAGCACATTTCGTCTTGGAAAGATCAGATATTAGGATGTACGATTGCGGACTATCATAAAGCCAGAAATTGTATTTTTCTTTGCAAGCTCATCATGACTCAATCACCTAGTTATCTTTTTTCCAAGTTATCGTTTACTCGGTCAGCCAGAGTAGGTAATATAATAATACCTTTTCATAGATCACAGCAATCATCAAGGCTGTTCTTTGTCAATGCTAGTCGATTATGGAACTCTCTTCCTGCTAATTTAAGGAGGAAATTAAACAGAAGCAATTTCAAGAACCACATATATATGCATTTTAAAGGCCAAATTTCAAACATAGACTGACCATTCAATAATTGTTTAAGTTTTTGTCATACTCAACTCATTATATATTATAATTATTTTTATTTTTATTATTATTTTTGTTAAGGTATCTGTAAAGTAATATTTACTTATTCTTCACACTATCTCTGTTGTACTAAAAAAGATATGGAAATCTTATTGTACTAATGCTTTGTTATTATTATTAAATAAAAAAATAAAATAAAATATATTTGCATGTAAAACCCCAAATTTTAATTTCCAAATATACATTTAAAATGAGAAATAAAATAATAGGGAATATCAAACTCTACAGAGACGAATAGAAACTCAAAACGTGTCGAACGAGGACAGCGACGCGATGCGCTGTTGCCTCCGTCATCACCCCCTCCCAGACAAACGAGGGATTCGTCGACAAAAGTATCTCCGTGTAAACTCGGACTTACTGTGCATCTATCCGCCGAACAGAGCTAATATACGTTCTCTGATATTTTGTTTTGGCCAAAACAAATCGATTATTGTTCCTTGTTCTCGAACTCTTCGTCTCTGTTTTGTAAAATGTACATAGTTATCACTACATTAAGTAACAATTGAAAATGATAAATCTTTTTATGTAAACGCCGAATAACTGCGATTAGTAGTGAACATCATCGACATCGCCATGGCTTTATTGACACGTCGGACTTCTCCCGGCTCACCTAAGGCCATGCAACGTTTCCAAAACTGCATCGCTTTTCTCTGGCCTTCTTTGAACTCGGGACCAGCTCAAGCTCATGCAATACAGCGTAAATCCGCTCAAATCGATTCGCTGGATTGTTTAACAAATGAACTAGTTAGTCGCAATTCAAAGAAATGGGACGAGCTAAGAGATTTGTTCATAAGGAAGCCCAACAAAATTGAATCAAACCCTAACAACTTTAGTGATCAAAACGAAATTGTGTCCACAAGTTTCGGTCAGAATGTGAACATTTTGTCTAAAGGTGTTGTCAGTGATTTTGAAGTTATTTGCTCCCCGCAGTTAGGCCTAGATATTCGTTCTTTGTCTCAACCGCAACTGGACAATTTGTTATTATCCACTGTAGAGATTAAAAATAAGCCCGATTTTCTATATCTAATCAAGCAGTGCATACGATATCAACAATTACCATCAAATGAAGTGCTGTTAGGAAGTCTTAAATACCTCATGCAGTTGTGTCGATTGCAGCAAATAGAATCCCTAGCAGATTTATGTAAATTGCGCGAACATCCGCTTGTGAAAGTATATGCTAATTTTTCACCTTTCAAAGCAATGGCACTGTGGCGAAGCGGGAGCGCAGATATAGCTTTAGTAACGCTTCACCGAGATTATGGTAATTGCATGGAGACAGGTGAAGGAAGAAAATTGGCACGAAATGTTTTCCGAACAATTGTAGAAGACACATTATTGCAAAAGAGTGAAGCTGTTTTAGTTTCACTGATGCAGGTGGCACGATCAATATATACGGAGCAAAAAGATATTTTCGTAGTTGCCTGTGTGTGGAAACAATGTTTCGCAAGCGAATGGTTCTCTGATCAAAAATCAGCAGCTGACTTGTACGACAATTATCAGGAGTTACAACAACTTGTTGCTAGACGGTAGTTCTGTGTATATACAAACAACTATACATGTAATAAAGTTTCAAAAATATTTTATCTGTAGATCAAGTTCACTCTGCTCTTCATTTCTTCGGACAAATAATGTGGACGCTGTGCATAGGTTGATTGAAGTATTTTTGCAAAATGAGCAACGAGAAGCTTGTGCCAATTGCCTCAGTTTGTTGTTTAACTACCAATGTAAGTGAAATTTCATATCATTTAAATTTGCAATTTAACTGTCTCTTTTTTTATTTTAGACCTACGTAGCGATTTGCGCGCTTGTGCTGAAATAATTAAGTCATGCAGCGAGTTGGGTATGCCATTAAGTGATGTACAAAATGAACAGTTTTTGACTTTGTTCCTTAATCAACCGACTATCGGCAATGTACGCAGTAAGGAAAATCATCAACCAAAACCAGTAAAAGAATTTCAATTCAAATTTTAAATGGTGATATTCTTTGATGATACTGTATATCTGTTAACTTTTAATTAGAAAAAGTAGCTTTGTTTTTTTTTTGCTCAAAAATTTGAGTAACACATGTAATTTGCACATAAAGCTGTTCATTCTATAAAGTTATAAATAAAGTAATAAATTATTTATGATTATTGTTAAATTAAATTTTTGTTAATTTTATTCGCTTAACGTTTAAAAAGAAATAGTTAAGTTATGAATTAAGGAGCATGCTTTGTAATGGCTATGTTTCTGCAAGATCTGTGAATCCCATACAATCATTACAACGAGCTATCAAATGACGATAACAAAGTGCCCGTAAACATTGCTGGCAACGCGAACGTGTTTGATATTTAGTGCAAATAGCGCAACGCTTTCGCCGCTCTAATGTCTTAGACATAAGCACAAGGCCATCAGGCAAATTCAATTTTTTTAGTGGGACGATACCTTTAGCCGAACTCTTTTTAACTTCTTCACAAGCATTTACAAGCAATTTTTGTGTCGGTTCACCCAGTACTTCACTTATTTGGAGTTTTTGGGGTAACGTAAGTTTGCTCTTATCTTGCAGTTGCCGTTTTAGCTGTAGTTGTGTGAGATATAATCCAAGATTTCTTTGAAATTCACGTTGTGTTGGCTGCTTTTCGGTACTGGATCTGGATAGTCTCATAAGAACCCAGGCATTCAATGCAGCAAAATTCATAATACGGTAAAATAAATTTAGGGACCAAACGTAGAGATCGCTATTTGCCGAGTAACTCGTACTAAATAATTCAACGGCTTGCTTAAAATTTTGACATGAACGAGTGCTAAGTTCAAAGAGCGTTTCCACGGCCACATTACCGGAAAACTCACTTGATAATAAAAACGATTCATTATCTGAACCTAATCGTCTCAAGCATCCAATGTCGGAATATAATTTTTGCGAGGCTTTATTTACTAAAATAGCCACCGGAACTTCTTCAGACGTACTCCCCAAACAGCCAATTACGGTAAGATTTCTTTGTTTTAGTTCTGATACCAAATTCGTATTTGTATATTCCTCAGGAAGAACGATGTTGCGCTGGCTGCCTTTAAGATCGGTAACTAAATGAAGAACTGCTCGCTCTTGTGACTTTTTTGAAGTCATTCGATTCGATATTAACGCGTTACATAAATATAAGGATTTAGAATCACTTAAAATCGTTAGCTGAATACTACTATTGCTGTCATTCATTTCAATAAAATTTTCATGCACAGCACAGTTACCACTTGGCGAATAGTACGAACGACAGTTAGCAAGAAATCTTTCCCACACATCTTGGATATCTAAGTAGTTTTTTAGACAGCCTTTTCTGGCTACTGGTGTGCTAAATCTTAAACAGTTTGTTAAAAATTCAAATCGTTTCAATGTCATTGTACCGCGAAAAATTGAATTTCCCAACTCCAATGTCCACAATTCACTTAGAGGGCCCGGTTGAGTAGTGTTACGAAATATACCACACAGGTAATTTAGGCCCATCCATGCACGCAACTCTACAATATCTGTTGTCTTTTCAAACGATGATTTTCCTTTACGCTTTCGAATTTCCTCATTTGTATTTGAAGTAATGATCGTCAAAATGCGTTCATCCAGAAGTAAACACCAAGCTTCGAGTGCATTTTTAATTTTTGTTGCTGGTCCCTTTCCTAAAGGTTGCAGTTGAGCAACTGAATCTATTGCAGCAGTTCTATTAACACTCCAAACACGTCCACTGGGAGCTTTAAATTCTGTACAAGTTTTCGATTTTTTACGCCTCGGTTCCGCTAAATTAAGTTCATCTTCGTCGAACTCCAGAATATATTCGGTATCTTCGTATTCTCCTTTAAATTGCGTTGGCATTGGATTTTCTTCATTATCATAAAATGGGTTGCCAAATTCGTCTTCGGATTTTACGTCGCATAATGATTGTTTTACTTCATCTTCTAAAATTAGCTCAGAAAATACCGCATTTTCTACCACTTTATGTACTTCCTTAAAAAACTCTTTTGGCAGCTTATCATCATCGTCTCCAAATTTAAAATTTGATTCCAACTTTTGAGAGGAGCTCATAATTATCTTTTAAAATTAATCGTAAAAATCACACTCTGCTTCGTTAATGATACAAATGAAAATCTGGGTTAAAAAGAGAACGCAAGGTTGCATCGAAATATGATAAAATAAATTCAGACCAATTCTTGAATCCTTATATACATATGTATGAATGTATTTGTGGATATGATTGACACTATTACAACTGAAGCCATACTCGTCTTAACTTCTCCAATTTCTCATGTGTGCCTTAATGTTTTCCCTCAAATAGTAAGTTCTATGGTTATTAAACCGGAAATATCTTCGAAAAGGTTAAAAAGAGGTTGACATCCCATTCATTATACCGCTTTTGAGACATTTTATTCCCTGTTGAAAACAGAAAAAAACATATGACCACCAAGTATGTGCATATCAACTTGAATTTACATATAAACTATAATTAATCAATTTATAAAATACTAAAATAAATTACATGTCGTTATCATCTTCATCGATTTCACTTGCACTTAATTCCGATACTATTCTTTTTGCATTGGCTGGCGTATCTTCTTCTGTTTCAGTAACACCTGTGCAATCGCAGCAACGGAGAATGTAATGTCTTTGACAAAGAGGGCGTAGACATTGTTGACATCTAGTTTTCGTTTTCCTAGATATTTTGCTTGGACATTTCCGACAGTTTGATCTCTTATTTAAATTCTTTGAGAATAACTTAACGCCATCAGGTACTTTTACATTGTTGTTCGGCATGAATGTAAAACTTGTGTCCCCTCGTGATTCTGCAGTGGTCTTTGGAAAAAGTTTATCAATATTTTCACCTAAAACTTCCGATATTTGTACTTTCTGTGATAAAGAGATACGATTTGAGTGAAGTTGGCGTTTAAGCTGTTGTTGTGTTAAATATAAACCAAGACGCCTTTGAAAGTCTCGCTGTTTCATACTACTATCCCCATTCACTGAAAGCACAAAAAGTATCCATGCATTTACAGCCGCACAGTCGAGTATATTTTGAAAGAAATTTGATGACCAACAGTTGTAATTATTTTGTATCGTAGAGGTCGTAGTTGTAGTAGAGTACTTACATCTCATTTCAGAAAAATCTCGACAGACGTTACAACTTAAATTGTATAAATGCTCAACTTTTATATTTTTTGGCATGCCGCTTGCCAATAAGATATTTTTGTTTTGATGATTTAATATTAAACACATGGAGTCGGAGTACAACTTCCGAAATGTTCCATTTGTCTGAAAATCTGGTGGTATTTCCATTGCCGTATTCGCTAATATTCCCAGAGAGGATATATCAATTCCCAACAGCTTATTTAGTAGTTCTATACTTGTAAACTTTTTGGGAAGAACGATATTTCGCTTGCTTCCTTTCATGTCGGATACTAGTCTTAAGATGTCGCGCTCTTTATATTCTCCATCCAAATTTAGAATTCCATTACACATATAAGATGTCTTTGCATCACATAGTAGCAACAATCGCGATTCATCCCTTAAACGCATGTAATTGATCTCAACTTCGTCCACGGCACAATTACCACCAGGCGCATAATACGAACGGCAGTTTACCATAAACATATCCCATAAATCCAGTATAGCAGGGGCATCATATTTCTTATCTTTTATTGGAGTTTCTCCAAAACGCATAGATTCGCATATGAACTTAAACCTATTGAAGGACATTGTACAGCGAAATATAGAATTTCCCAACTCCATTGACCATAACTCATCTAACGGTCCCTTATGTGTAGCGTTGCGAAATATACCACACAGATAATTAAGCCCTATCCACGATCGGAGTTCCACCGCATCAATTACACGTTGATGTTGCATTTTTAATTTTTTTTGTTTTATCTCTATGTTAGTGTATTTTACGATTTGCGAAACAATTTGGTCATCCACAAGCAAGCTCCACATTTCCAATATACTGTTAATTGTATGTGCAGGTCCTTTACCTCTCGGTTGAAGTAATTGTATCGCAGACTGAAACTTTTCAATTCCTGCAACGTTCCTAGATGTGTGCCATAAAAACCCATTGTGGCTTGCAAATTCTTTTTCAGGGCGGCTCACTTTACTATACTGCCTTGCTTCATTTGTTTCATCATCACTTTCATCAGTCTTGAAAATTTCATTATCTTGATATGAGCAGGTGAAGTAATTTTGTAAAGAATCCTCTATATTGTTGAACAATGGATCAACACATGTTCCCGCTTCCTCCTTGAAGTTTTCACTTCTGAGATTTTCTCCTACAAAAGAGACGATTTCTGTTGAAGTTTCCGGAAAGGACTTCAGTACCTTTAAAAGTGGATTTCTGTGAATATCCTCTTCACTCTCATCCGAATCCATCGGAGTTTTTATGTTAGCCAATACTTCTGATGAAAAGCTCATAATTGCTGACCTATCATTATAGCTTATATTATAAATAATACATCTGATATTTTTAAGTTATTATAGTACTTATGCGACCTTTACAAACTAAGAGTAACAGGGTTGCAGTGGTAAATTTTTTATGTTCGACACAAACTAACACATTGTGGAGTTATTTTATTTCATACTTATAAGTACAAGCTGATTGTGTACAAGAAATAGATGAAATTGCATCACATATTTTATTGAAATTGTAAATATATTGAAAAAGATATGAAATAAAATTTGTAACTACCCTGAAGAAATTACTTAGCACAACAAAATGATAATCTCAATTATTTCTTTAATCGTGTCTTCTTTCCACGAATAACCCCAAAACGTAATAGTAAACATGCAGAAAAGGCGCAAAAGCGAACAGAGTCTGCGTTCGTTCTCTGCTTCGGCTGTCAAATCGGCTCTGGTTGTTCGTTTTATCTGCTTTTTGACTACATTTCAGGTATTGAATGATTCGTTTCTTGTATGGTTAACGCATTCGGCAGGAATCTGTGAAAATTTCGCGACTTTATAACGAAAAAATATATCAATAAAAACAAAATAGCGCATTAGTAAATCAAGCACGGTAAATCGTTGTTTTGAGTGTTACCGATAACAAAATTTGTGCATTGAGAATGTCAAATTGACATTTTCATCTAGTTGACGGACAAAACTTCATTTTTTCTGCTTTGTGAAAAGTTATCGTTATTCTGCTGTGTCTACTGTTTCCATTTGACATTCAACATTTAAGTGATTTTAGGTATGGAGTAAATTGCTGATGTCAACAAAGGATTTGGACACATATTTGCCTATGTATATCCACAGCTACTAATTGTTTTCTAAACAAAGTTTTGAAGTATATTTATAGTTATTTTCTACAAATTTCGTACAGTATTAGTGTTGCCCCGCCATCTTGCACAGTAGCTTCAGGCTGTGACCTATTTTAATTTTCATATTAGGGATATTTTTCAGCCAATATACATACATATGTATATATCTACATTCAAGTATTAGTATAATTTAACATAAGTTTGGGGTTTCCTTGATAGACAATTGATCTTCATCACTTGGTTGAATTCTATTTTGGAGTTTTCCAACATTCCCAACTGCATATTTCTAACGTCATTTACTATTTCTTTCACTTCCGCCATTTTGACAAAAGGAGTGATCTTTGTTTTATTTCTCATACTGCTATTTCACTCTTCCTTGTGGCAAGCGTTTGGCAACGGGTTAGCTGTCAAGCATTGTACATGTCACTAACAACTGTCAAAAGCGTGTTTCATATATCGTGTCTGAAGTTTATTGTGTGAAAATTTTGAAGTTTAATTAATCAAAAATCGCAGTAGAAATTGACGTTTTCCTAATTTTGTATACAAATACATGTCAAAAAACACTGGAGCCGGTAAAAACTGTATGAAAAAGATGAAAACTCGCAACAATCTAGGAAAGCTGTTGAATGCTTGACTACATATCCCTAGCTTACTTGGTTAACAAATTAAGATTTGTTAAAGACTTTAAATTGCATTTAAAGGACAAATTCACTTGAATAGGCACCTATCAAACATATACCATTCGTTTGGTAATATACTTCAAATTAAGCTCTTGAAGTTGAATTAAATATATCAGTTTTCTAACTTTGGGAAACTTTTTTAAGACAATACATCTTTGTGAGTACAACCAATATGGGTCAGAGGGAAACCAAGTTTTTTTTACATTTAATTGCAAAAATCTAAGAACCAACATTACTACAGTTTTTCAGTTTTCTACATTTTTCCGTTTTATTATACAGGAGTAAGAGCTTACGCATACCAATGATATCGGCGCATGGGTCTTGCTAATTTAAGGGTAACGCAAATTTACGTAAATATATCAGCTTAAAAATGCTTTCACCAGATACGTTGCATCACGAAGAAGTCAATTTGGCTTTGGACCGACAAGTGCGTCAAGATATACAGGATATGGCACAAGAAGCACAAATACAAGCGCAAATCATAGCTCACGAAGGTGAGCCTTTGCATATGTATAAATTTTTATTTTATTTTATTAATTTTTTTGTTTATTATGTGTTATAATATATATATTTAAGCGTTGGTTAGATTTAATTTCAATACTATTTCGGTTGACCAGCTGGTTTGGTTAGAACTCAAAAATTAACAAACGCTTGACATCTATATGCAGACGTTAAATTAAACAATTGTCACTTATAAAAATTTTGATTTTGAATATAATATATGTTTTTATAGTAATTGCAATGTTTGAAACAAATTTGTAGCGCGTGATCGCTTTCAATCTACATCCAGTGTCGAAGATGATGGGCAAGATGATATCGAGCATGATGGAGTCACAGTTCTAGGAGTTGTTGAAGCGGACGACGAGGAGAATGGACATCATCACGAAACTATCGTTGAGGAGGACCTGACCGAACATGACTTATCAGAGATGCATGATGTCAAAGATTTCAAGGATATACTTTTGGAATCCAATGATGCCAATACAGATAACTTATCCATGCGTAAACGGCGTGGTAATTTGCCAAAACAATCTGTAAAAATATTGAAACGGTGGCTATATGAACATCGCTATAATGCATATCCAAGCGATGCAGAAAAATTTACACTATCACAGGAAGCGAATTTAACTGTACTTCAGGTAAGAAACTAATTTTTTAGAAGCGTAATATCTGGAGTAACTTCAGGCTTTGGTTTATTTTTGCAATCTGGTATGCAAAGAAAATAATAACAAAATCGGCTTAAGACTGATTTCTCTTGCGAGCTTAATGTTCAATATTCCCTCCCCCTTTGGGCAACAAATCATAATTATATTATACCAACAATTAAATTCTATTATTATGCTATAATTTTACAATAGTTTTTAAACTTTATTGAAGGTGTGCAACTGGTTTATTAACGCCCGTAGAAGAATATTGCCCGAAATGATACGTCGGGAAGGTAACGATCCATTGCATTTTACAATTTCCAGGCGAGGAAAAAAGCTGAATTCATCAATGAACTCATCGGGCGGCCTTAATGCCTCAGGAACTGTGCCGAATCCCATTACTGGAAGTCCAGCATCTGAGGTGGTAAGTTTTATAGTTTAAGATCATGTAACTTAAATTTTTTAATATGAATAACCTAGATTGTGGGTGCGACGGAAGAGGTTGAAGGTGATGAAGAACATGATGGCGTGGCAAATGTACTAACGGCACTGGGCCATTTCGTACAAACACCAGGCGGACACATGGTGAAAGTAGAGCCTGATATGGAATATGACGATAGCGTTATTTACAGGTTTGTGATTAGAATTCTTGGTGCCGAAACTCTAGCCAATATATATGTATATATAATCTCATTTATTCGCACTTCCTTTTTTCCCCTTTGAATGATATCTATAATTTGATTCAAATATTCCCATCAACCAACAATCAATTATCCAAATAAAATGAACAGGTGGCAGCAGGCAATATCCGCTAATCCACAAGGCTTTCAAAGTTTACACCCACAAATCCAAACGGAAATTTTGGCCAAAATTCAAGCTGCCAAACAAAAGCAAACAGTATATATGCAACAGCTTTTATGTCCAAAAACGGCGATAATCCAAGATCCCAATGGCGCAACTGTTGCATGTGTATCCGCTTCTCCTTCATCTTCAAACAACTCTGCCGCGATCATTCCCCAGTATCCTACAAACAATACGAAATATTTTTATTCCCAAACACTCAACCAAATTTTTCATATTCAGAATAATACTCCGTCAATGAAGAATTCACAATTCAATGCGTTAAGGTAGTAGGGAATGCGTTTTGGTTATCTCTTTTGGTATAATTGAAGGTTTTTTGCTATTATATGAATTATTTTTAGGGTTGGGTTATTATTATTGTTTTTGAGTTATACAATATTTGTTTTCTATTCATCACCTTGAATGTTGGATTATTACACGGTTGATATAATTTAATGCATTAGTTTTTAATACTTATTGTTTTTTTTTACAGATCTGAAGATGACAGTGTCAACGAGTACGATTCGTGTGAGCCACAGAGTGAGGAGGAAGGCAAATTTGAGAGCTCAGACGCCTGGCAAAGTGTTATGAAGTAAGTTCACAAGATTAAATCTAGTCTTTATATAACTACACCTTTTAATTGACTTCTTCGATTTCTATATATATATATATACATTGTATAGAGATATAATATATGTCTATATATGATATCTGAGCAAACTACATCAGAATATATTAAATTGTCTTAAGATATGTATGGATGAAGTTTCGAAATAACTTGCCATCCCTTACCTGTTGCTTTTATCTTTGTTGACCAATTTTATTTTTTATGTAAAGGTGTAGTTATTTTTTCAAAAAACTCGATTATTCTCATAATTATACTTCTTTGAAATGTTTCTTTTTCTTTTTTTTTTTACTTGATACATATGTATTTCTTGAAACAATTGTTTGGCCCACAACTTATGTCTATCGTCTGTATTCTTTTGTTACCTCTTCATTAATGTGTTCGTGTCCTCACCCATCTCTTCGGTCTATAATATCCTTTTATCTTGGATGTTCTTCGCTTCGCTCAACTCTATACTGAAATGATTACACACAACTATTTCGTTTATTGAATGTTTATTTTACGGGACTGTTTTCAGTACCGAAGAAGTAACGACTTCTAGTCCTACAGCAACGAATAATACCTTTTGGACAACGGCAACGCATCCACATACTACGACGGCGCAGTCGCATGCGCTGGGTGTGACTGGCTCAACTATTGTGGGCGTAACTGGTTAGCATTGATTTTTATATCTACATATGAAATGTAACAGTTAAAAACTCATATACTTCCAGGCAACAATGTGATATCTGCTGCCGATGTCAATGCACTCGCAACGCCTGTTGAATTGACAGCTGAACCGGGTGTTGTAATTGGGGCCGAAGCAACTGTAGTGACATCGGGTGTTTCAAATGCTGCAAACAGTTGTAATACTAATGTTGCAGGGGCGACCACTAATAATACAATTGCATCAACGGTACAGGTTATACATCCTGGCAGTCATTTGGTAAAAGGTTTGTACGCTTTTCTATTTATAAACACCATAAAACTCTTAACTAATCGCATTAATCATTCAATATCATTCAATTATTTTCCAGGTGTCGTACGCGATGACAAAGATAAATTTAAATGTCTGTACCTGTTGGTGGAGACGGCAGTTGCCGTGCGCCAACGTGAGAAAGAGCAAGAAGATGAGGACGTGCATGTATTGGGGAATTGAAATTTACATACAGAAAAAGTGAAAGGAATCATACACACACGATGCGCACAGCAAATGAAGATGTTGTTGTTCTTTATATTGACTATTGAGTTAAGGTTACTTCTACTTAATACTACCACAATATTGTTCAGTTACACTTGTGAATTTCGTATGCATTTCTCCCAATGACGTTTGAGAAATGCACTTACACCTCCAATCCTTTATATTTCATTTTACCTATTTTCCTCTTAATGTTCAATATTTGCCTTTAAAATACAAATTAGTTAATTCACCACAATCACATCAGCTTTATTAAATTTCAATTGCATTACTTTTTGAATGAATTATATGCTTATACTAAATGCGTGATATATTCCAAAAATGCATATAATTTTTAAAACAAATAGACGTATTTTTGCAAAATGCAATTTTATAAAATAAAGTTAAAAAATTATGTAAAATATTTTTCAAAACATTTTCATCCCTTAATTATTCAAAAATGTTTACAAATACGTCATAGAATGCTATGCGAACTTCAAACTTTTTGCTTCTTTGGAAAGAGTAATTATTTTTTTAACAACGAGAATTTGCTGCGAAAATTCGCAATGGTAAAATTCCTTCGAACCAAAAAATTATTTAATTTTTTCTCAATATTTGTATCAATAAAGTAATGCACAAGGTTAATACAAACATTAATTATAGCAAAAATGATTCTTTTGCGCATGAATTCAGTTTTGAAGATTCTTTTTTTTCAATCTTTTGCATATAGATTAATAGTAGCTGCTGGCACCGACATTTTTATTAGAATGCATGAACATTAAATAACTTTTTATTCAATTTACAAAAACCATATGTTTGATTGTATAAAAGGCAAATCGAACAGAAATACGAAAAATATAGTTTCCACCAGCTAAAAACCTTTAATTAAACTTTAATATATTTAAATGAAATAAATTTCATACATGTACCATATTTAAAAAATAGTCATTAGGAATTTTATTTAAGTGGGTAACAGATGTAAATTAAATGAAATAAAAATAAGGCTTGTAATTACATATGTTTATATTAAAATTTTTTTTGCATGTATTTGTCATTGACCGTATGCATTGGACCGTAAAGATCTTTAATAGATTGGCAGAGGTGTCACAACAATAATGGTTGCAAACTCTTCTTATTGTGCAGCGTAGATAAAAGCCGTAGGGGATTATCTCTTAATCTCTTTGCCATGTTTTGTTGTATAATTTAGGTTTCTCTTTATTTAGATTATTATCTTATATTAAATAATTGTTTATCTGAAGAAAACTTCGTAAAGCTCAAAATACACTACCTTATACTACGAAGCTTTTCTTTTATCTCCTTCATTTAGTTACTTCGGGCAGAAATTCTTGGAAAACTTTAGAGTGATGAAAAAAACTATTAATTTCTGTCTATGTATAATTGGCGCTTTGTAATCGTTGAAGTGATTTTTGGCCGAGCTCTTCCTCCAAATTGTGGTTTGGCGTCTCGATGTTTTTTCAACAAATGGAAGTATATACAGTTCATACCAGGCCGCTTCCGAGCGGCTGATGGTTTTTATGAGGAGCTTTTATTTCATGTCAGAAATACACTCGAAGGGGTTGACATAGCCGCCGCCGCCAATTTCCTAAAAAAAATCAATACATACATTGAGTAAGTTGAATCTTACTTAGAATCATTAATAATTTTTTAGCACCATTTTGAAAGAGATATATTTTGGATGGGCCTTCTAGTAAACATGTACAAACAGTTGTTAAGATTTTCTAAATTGTTGTTGTTGTTGTTGTTTTTGTTGTTGTTTTTGTTGTTGTTTTTGTTGTTGTTGTTGTGGTAGCGGTTCGCCAATCCCGCTTAGGTAGTAAATAATCCAATTAATCTAACGGGAGGTCCAGGAAACGAGCTATTTCGACGGGTTCGGACCAGAGGGAGAGAAAGTATTGTTGCAAGGTAAATTTATAGAATTCAGAGTTGCATTGTAATGAAGCGGTTTCGTTTTGGAACTCGCCCGTGGTTAGTGTACTGTGGGGATTTACATTAGGTCGAGTCTGGATAAGTAAGAGTTTGATCTGTTACAATAACCAGACCAAAGTTACGTCAGTATTACGCGGAACTATCGAAGCAGCTGGAGATGGCTTGACTCCCAGGACGCCGGTTTTACGCTCCGGAGTTGAACCGTATTTTACTAGGTCAAGGACTGTCACCCTATCGGCGACCTAACCCCGTGTAGGTCAGTAGGTAGGATGAATTGCTGCTGATATAGTCTAATTCTTCTTCTAATTTCGTTACAATAAAACTGTAATTACACATTTTTAATCATATAATATGATTGAACAATAGAACACAAATGATTTGAAATGGAAAGAATAATAATTCTTTAATATGAATGACACTGAAACAAAAAATGTCGAAATGTAGTTTTGTTAAAATAGATTTAATGATATCAACGATTTAATTAAATGGTTAAGGTACTCGTTAAATGAGAATGTGGTTGCCTGCACACCGCCCAGCTTGCGTTGAGAAATTAGAAGTTAGGAACGTTGGAGAATTCTATGACAATATACATATATTTTTATTCCTGTACAACGCAAGTGACGACCAAAGGAACCGTAACACAATTCGAAACAAAGTTGCTGCTACAGCCTCAATAACAATAATGCATTCTTATGCTTCCGGAAACGACGACGATGCACAATATGAAATTTATTTTAAATGAGTTTAAAAGGGAAAATAAAGCTCTTGCTTGGATTTTATTTGGCAGAATCAAAGAAACTATATAATAATGTTCAGTTAATATTGACGGCTTACAAGGCAAAATAATTCCGAGCTCACTTTCGTATTTCAAACATCCTTTCTGAAAATCTAAAATCTAAGTGACAAATTGTTGGAAAGTAATTTTTACATAAATCTTCGTCCTTTTATAGGACTATATTGTCAATTTTATTAAAATACTTAGAAACACACTTAAAAGCAAAACAAATAAACTGTAAATGAACGGATTCAAATTTAACTCCCAAAATCAATAATTGTTGTACAACTTGCTGGCTAGTTTTTACTGAATCCTGTTCGGTGAAGACTCAGTCAGTTTATTTCTTTGGGAAAGCAAAACATTTTAGTAGTTTTTTCAATTTCTTTACTAACTATTTTTAACTGACATTCCTCAACGATCTCAGCTATTGTAATAAGCTGCCCATGACTATTTAGCCAAGAGCTTTATATTCTGTTATGAGCTTAACGATGGTGTTGTTCGCTCAATATACTGAACGTGTATAATATGCACTACAAGTCTTCGCTTGACGTAAATCACCTCTTTGGCGCCTTAAAACAATTCGCATAATTCTTACCTTTTTCAAGATCTTTATTCCTTTAAAGTACCTTTCTCTCTCAATGTTTGAAGGGTAACGAAGTGCTAAATAATAACAAATGATATACATATCTTATTTCTCGGCAAGTAAATCCCATGAATTGGGACGAAATCTTTCTTTGAAAACTAATATTTATTAGAAGAGTACTACGTTGACTTTGCTGCCAAGCTTCATTCAACAATATTCAATGCACAATATAAATATGATACAATCTGTACATATGTACATATGTATGTGTATCTGAAAATGTATTCATACATATTTGTCAGAGTGTACGCGTGATTACTACTTGTATATCATTCAACAATATTCAATGCACAATATAAATATGATACAATCTGTACATATGTACATATGTATGCAAAGTATGTACATACATATTCGAGTATCTGACAGATTCCCAAAATCGTTGTGCAGTCAAAGTCTCTGTTAGAGTATCTGAAAATGTATTCATACATATTTGTCAGAGTGTACGCGTGATTACTACTTGTATATGGCACACATTCATACGTGTATGTATCTGCAGGCACAGTTATCGCGTGGTCAAATAACGAATTCGTTCATTGACGGGAATTTCAAACTGTACGGTTAGTGACATAGATGTAAGTTTTAGAAGTTCGATAGCTACATACACGTATATCCCAGTATTGGCATAAAAATACCTATGCTCCTGACAGGACAGACAATGTTAATGTAATAAGTTGTTTCTTAAATATCAAAATTGGCAGATGTTTTTAAATTTATGTATAAAAAATATATTTTATTTAAGAATTCCTCCAGAACTGATTTTATGTTCCCTGCCTCTTAAGTTGATTTCATAAAAACTAGTGAGTCATAACATATCGATAATCAAACGAAATTATTCTCAACTCAGGGTTACGATCATTTTTAATTTTTTTAATTTGTTTCAATGTTGTTTTTTAGGTTTATCTCAGCTGGAGAACTAATGTACTCTCAATCAACATAGATTTTTAAAGTTCAGATTTAGTTTTTTACTTAAAAAAACAATAAATAATTCGTATAGTATTTTCAAATCTATCTCCTTTCCTGCCGTATGTATACTATACAAAGAGTAGCTGTTGCTTGCAGTGCGCATGCCCATAACTTGTAGTGTAGCGTACCATTTGGCTGATAAGTCTCCGTCAACTGAACGGCTTTTACGCTCGCAACTACTGCTTCAGTTGAGATTTACTCATCTGAGTGTACGTACATAAAAAGTTACGGTGTGGAAGCTCTACGTCACATTAACGATAGTGACGATGTTAACAATCCACGTTGTGCTGCTCTAATTAATAATTGTTTATAAACAAAAAAGAACAACGCCGGGCCGCCAAAATTTTCCCAAATGACAAAGATAGTATAGTTAGCACAATAAAATGTAAGTGCAGCAATGGGAGGCAGCCGGAGTTACAGTGTGAGCAGTAATGGCAGTTCAAACGGCGTTGTTGGTAGCACCCGCAGCGAAAATTACAGTGAAAGCAGTGGCGTCGCCAGTAGTGGTGGCAAACCTCTACCACACAAGACCACACAGCTACTCTACAGCAGCAGTGTCTACAAGGATGGTGCTCCCACCTATATAGAAGGAAGTCTAAATGTTACGTCCTCACTGCAGCAGCAACAGCCGGAAGTTCAACGGGTGCGGTCACAACGTGTTATGTGCCGATGCTGCTTGTCCGAGCAGCAGCAGCAAAAGCAGACTTCGTTGCGAGAATCCTTCAAGTCATACCCTGAACAGAATGATGAGGACGCGGCAAACTTGGAGTTTGTGCCGTTGGACACATTAGCTATGGTGGACTTGGGCGGCGATAATTTCATTACCACGCCGTCAGCTGGTGGTGATTCATACAAATCACCGTTGAGCAGAATGTCCTCGACTAAGGATACGAATAAAAATAGTAGTACGACGAATAAAAATAGTATGAACAAAAATACTAGCCCCAAAGGACCAGTGAATAATAACAAGGCGAGCAGTATGAATAGCAACAGTATTAACGCCACATTGCTCGACTGTTTAAACGCAATTGCGCGTATAGGCGCCTCACTTGCGGACAATGAACTACCTCAGCACATCTGTCTTGACTGCTGCCATATGCTAGAGATGTGTTGTGAGTTTATACGTTGTGTACGGAATGCGGATAAAATACTTCGGAGGCGTTCTGGACAGCCGGCGAAACGTCTGCGACAACAAAAACTTCTGCATCAACTGCAGCAGCAGCAGTCGCAGTCGCGCCCAACAACAACTGTTGAGGAGGGTTCAGCAGCGAAACGTAGGCGACGCAGCGAAGAGGTGTGTCCGTGTGCGTACTCGTGCGTGCAGTGTATAATAGACACTTACTCTAATTTGATATAGTACATTTTCATTCTAAAAAATTTAATTTCTTGTAGTTTTTTTATCGTTCTGTTCTATTTGTGAAGTCGTATAAAAATAATTTCGATTAAAAGTGCTTAAAAAAATATGTATTCATTTCACAACAGAAAGTGCAACAAGAACATCGTGTGAGTGTCGGCCGTGCCGGTATCAGTGCTAAAAGTCGTAGCTGCAACACGCCCAAGTCAATATCCTTGCCGAATTCAGTGATGACAGTGACGGCGGCTGCAACGTCGAAGTGTTTAGAGAATGGTAAGTTGTAAAGTTAGTGTTTTAGTGTTTTGAATGAGTACATATAGAATATAGAGTTATGACGGATCGTATGTGTATATACATATGTATGTAAATACAAATATAAGTGCAAGTACACACAAACCTACATTAAGGTTGCATGCCGCATGAGTCAATATGAGCCGTTTGTTTTTATACATACATTTATCTTGTATCTACTTTTTGTATGGCACTCAACTCCCATTCACATATGTATGTATGTACATATATCAAGTGAAAATGTCAGCTGTGCTGTTTGAGGTGTTTCTTTTAATAAAATTAAATGAATTTCGAGATTTTGGTCATTCTGTAATGGAGTTTGTTGAAAAAATATCAAGTGAATATAAAAAAAATACATTTTTGATGTTACATTAGGAAGTTTGAAGCAAATTAAGAAACATACCTGAAGTGGCAAACACATCTTTAATTGAGGTTTGAGAGGGATGGCGAAAATTTAATTAAAAAACTAATGAGGGTATGTATTTATCTGCAAAAGCATTTAGTTTATCGTTTTGTCGTTGTTGCTCGTTAATTACAAGAAATGAAATTGTTAAATCTGTAATTATGCGTAAACAATTTGCGAAAAATAAGTAAGAAAATTTAATTGATATAGAAGAAATGGATTATAAATTTATTTACACACCACACTGCATTGTTCGCTCATATGTATGTGATGTGCTTAGGTTTAAGACGAAATTGCGGTGGCGACCGGTGGAAATTGCTCTTGTCCCCTTTACTGGTGATTTACGATCAAATAGCGAGCTGCTAATGATTTCGTAATTAAAATATTTTTGAACATTTTCAGTCATTGCTTTCTTTGAAGAAATTCAATACAACTTTGATATGAATCCAATCCAAGAAAATTGCTCACTTTTAAGCACAAATAATTAGTATCCGTGAGCTTCATTCATGTAATTATTACTGTGCGTTGTAGGAATCCAGGCTTTCAAACTTTCAGCAGGCCTAATTTTCTACTAGCTTCTCTTACTTTCTTACTAATTAGTAAATTTTTTAGACATAATTATTGCACTTCCCTTTCACTATTCATAAGAGTTATTAGCTCTGTTGGCTCTCACTAAAGAAATTGAGTTTTTTTTCTTTATTTGATTTGCGATCATATGCTTAATATGTATAACATACGAACAAAAGAAACGATAAAATTTAATTATTTTGAATGATAACTAGTTAAGTTTAATAGTAAAGATACCCATCATTCCATCGTTGGCCCTCTTGTCACGACAGTGCTAAACACCCAAAGGTCCGCTGTCATTCTATATCTTTATTTTAACACCTGATCTGTGGCAATATGTCAACATTTACGTGTTCTGTAGTTCTCTGGTAAAGTGTAGTGTTAATGTGAAACGTCGCTCTATCTGTGGTCTCCTCTGTTGTAAAGCTATCCATCGCAATAAGCTATTTACGGAGTGTTCATAAACTGCGTAGCTCGGCCAAGACATTACCCGCCGAGGGGCGACCGCGATTAAAAAAAAAATAATTCTTCAAATTAAATTTTTTATATATACTTTTCATAAACATGAAATAGGTTGTAATCTTTGGATCGAAGGTTGTACATAGGTACCAAAAGATGAAGAGAAGGACTCACGAAGTTTATACTTAGAACTGCGCGATGAATTGATTTAGCCAAGTAGATCTGTTTCAACTGCAAACAGAGAACTTTTGAGTGGCTTTAACAAGAACAAAAGTTTATATGTATTTCAAAATCTAAATTTTTATAAATATAAAAATTAGAATATTTCAAGCATAAAATGAAAATAACTAAAAAACCAATTTCAAACAAAGTAAAAAATCAAAAGGTAGACTCCCACTTTAACTCCCTCCAATCTCTTTTGTTCACTAAGTTTTTCATATTTACTCCAAAGCGGAAAATATTTCAAGTAAAAGATAAAAGTAACTTAAAAGCAATTTAAAACAGTAGAAAATCAAAATTTACGTTTCCACAGTTATTTTGTGCATAGGTATAGAACAAGGTTTATACAATATAATAGAAGGGTGCGGCAAGAGCGAACATATGTTTAATGACGAAGTTGGTTGAATTTTGTGTGTTGCCGAAGATTTTAAAATGATTTTGCATAATTTTATCAATAAAACAACTAAACATTTTGACTATAGGATTCTAAAGTCTTGCATTAAATTTTTTTAAATTAATAACCATCAGAATTAAAACGACCTTAATAGTTTTATGTCGAACAAATGGGATTTAGAATTCAGTTTATAAGAAGGTCAAGTAATGTATGCACTCAATAAAAACAGAAACTGATTTGACCTAGGCCCGTATTTCCGTTAATATATCTTAATAAAAATTAGGTACAAACTATTAACTAATCTGATTCCTCAAAATTTCTTTAAATAAACAGAATAACTGCCTTAACTTCGTAAAATTTTGTTATGTTTTTTTTTAGATAAACAAATTTTATACGTTATTTGTTCGTGTATTAAAGAATACGAGTATACTAAACAAAACTCAAGGCAAGTAAAAAGCTTTTGACGTATGCCAGATTTACCCTCTTCTACAGTTTAGTTCATACACAACAATGCTGTTAATTAACTTTTCGAAGCACGATAATAATTTCGAGTGGGCTTACCAGTGAGCCTTATAAAAACTTTAATGTCGACATGACAGCCTACATTGGAGTCGGAAGGGAAGCCTACGCTCTCTCAGTGTTACGGTCTACAATAAATACAGACAAATGAATAAAAAAACTGTTTTTAGATTTAATTGCAGATATGTATACATGCACTAAAATACATATCTAAATGTTCATATAAATGTAATAAAATAGCTTTAACTTGGATTTGAAGTTTTGCAATTTGCACACAAGTTCCAGGCTTGCTACCATTTGTTGAACTTCATAATTATTATATTTGCTATGCTTTTTATTCACCCGTCTGCTCTGTATGTATACATACATATATACGGTCCACTTGATTAAAGATAGTATTTTTATGAAACTTAGTAACAAAATATTACCAAAAATTTTAAATATCAAATACGAAAATGCTAATTAGAAAAAAAATTGGACAGAAAACTGAGTAATACACATACATAACCGCTGAAGCGATTTCCGTCCGAGCTGCTCCTCCTATTTTGGTGTGCGTCTTGATTGTACGTACTGCATACCACTTGGGTCATGCCGTTGCCAATATAAACTTAATATAATGACAAAACGAGTTGCTTTAGCTACCTACATACATATGTATGTATGTCTGTCCACGCGCTCAATAAATAAATAGATTGAGAAAATTTATAGATATATTATTGTGATTTAAAAAAGGCGATTTTTCGATTCCAATGGGCAAAAACAAAACAAAAAACAAATTTTATATGTACCGCATAATCTATTGAGAAAATAATCTTAATCCCACATATTTCCACTCATCGAAACTCTGTAAAATTAATCCATGTAACAGGGAAACATGTCCACAAAACTTACTTTCGTCTCATACAGATATGTAGCTGTGTTTTTACTTCGGGCTCAGTATGTTTAACATCAAATTCATTAATTATTAACGAATAAAATGAAATAAACTTTAGTAGATTCTCAAGAGATACATTCACTTTAATACACATGTGCAGCACCAAGCAAAGTGGTTTGACTTTAGTGGCTCTTAATTAAAAATTTCTCGGAACTCGTAAAATTCGTCAACATTTAAAAAGTTTAAAAAAGCCATTAGTATCAAACTGAAGCTAACTGACCGAAGTATACTCGTATGTCATCAGACCCTCTCTGGCTCAACCCGACCAATCGTGTCTAATAAACGGTTCCACCCGAACTTGATCCTTTCTTACATACTTTTTTATCTTTATTTATGTCATATATGTTCTTGAATGATCGAAAAGTTTACCTTTTATAAAGTGAGAAAAGTAATTTATTTTAAATAAATATAACTTTTTTTCACCGAACAGAACTTGATGATTTTTACAAATAGGCTAAAGAGAATTTGGCGCATGATAATCCTTTGGAATTTACATTGGATGTTCCATCATCTTGCCAATTGAATTATTTGATTTCGTTTTTTAATTATAATTTATAATATCACTTATACACATAAGTAATATTTATATATTATATAATATTTATATTACTTACTAATAATAATTATTATATATGCATACGAGGTGTTACAATTAAGTAATGAGATTGATTATATTGCCGCGATTGTGGTAAACCTGCAACCTTGAAATTTTCTTTCCCTTCACCTAGCATCCTTCTACTCTCCATTGATATATTTGCCATCGCTCTAGCTTATTTAGTTCGCCTGCTGTGTCGTGTTGAGCAAAGGTGTGTTCGTGGTGCTCGTCACGAAAATGGAGAATCGAAATCAAGAGCAAGGCGTCGCGGTAAAATTTTGCCTCAAATTGGGTGAAACAGCTTCGGAAATGTACGCTAAAATTGTAAAAGTGTGTGGTGATTGTGCTCTTAGTCGTGCCCTGGTGTTTCGATGGCATAAAGAGTATACGGTTTTTATGGAACCAGTCTCATTACTTCATTGTCACACCTCGTATTTATTATTGTGAATAAAAACTTAAAATTTAACCACTTCCAACAGTTATATAAACACAAGTGATGACGTAATAATTAATCATCTCAATTTTTTGTAATTCCACAGACGAATTACCGGACTTTGGCTTAGCGTCGGACTGCGTGGAGAGTAATTTTGTACGCTCGTTTGATAGTGGTATTGAGATAGACGAGGACTTATGTTCTGTCAAATCGAGCGATTGTAGCGCAAATGAGAACTCAATGCGCTGTCACCTGACGAAATATGAAGGATATACTTATGTGGTCGCCGACACTCTTTCACATGATCTCGAACGTTTTCACCGAAGTGGGCGCTCACAGACCACTACTGGTGAAAGCGGTGCTGGTATCAACCAACTGGTGACATATAAATGTGGATTCTGCCTTTTTGAGTGCACCGTACGACAGGAGTTGAATAGGCACTTGCATATACACTTAGGTAAGCCAGCGGGCCACATACATATGTATATATGTATATGATGTACATATGTATGTACTTAAGTGTATATGGTTATTAAAAACAACGTATTAATTAGTATTTGTTGAACAAATTTTTGTAGGTCCGCCGCAACACAGCTGCCGCAAGTGTAGTTTTGTTGGACATTTCAAGTTTTTACTCGCGCAGCATATGCGTAATGTACACCACTGTGCATTGGAAGCAGTTGGCGTGGGTCCAGAAGGTATGATGGAATTATTAATTTTAAATATCTCAACGCCTATGTACATACAGTAAATAAATATAGGTATGTCTTTTATTTGATTACATATTTTTGCTTTCATAGGTAGTAAAAAATATGTTGAGTGGAGTGGTGACGACATCGCTCGAAGTTACGGTGGTGAAGCCGAGGGTCCCAAATATCATTGCTATTTATGTAGTAAATGTTTTCTAAATTATGATGGCCTACAGCAACATCGAAAATCGCATAAAGGTATGCATTTTATTGTATAAAGAAATACATATGTATATTGATTATTGTTTATAATTTGTCGTTTGTTTATTTGTAGTTTTTTGCAAATGCACAATGTGTGCCTTCAAAAGTTCGACACGTGAGAATGTTTTGGAGCATTTGGCCAAAGAACACAAAATATTGGTTGAGAGGCGTTTAATTGGTAAGTAGAAGTGGGAGGATTCTTTCTTCTTTTAGCTGCTCGATGCCAAATTGCAGACAATTTGATCAAATTGGTCTTTCCACCGTAACGGGGTCTTCGTCTTCCTCCGCATACGCCAGCGAGTACTGCATCGAATCATTTCAAATTTAAAGTGTTTTCGTGCATCCAGACGACGCACAACGGGCTAAATAGTTCTTAAAATGGAGATTAATTCCCACAAACCTTCTAGTTACGGAAAAGTTATGTTTTTAGTTAATTAATCATAAAGAGTTATTTGAAAGGTTTTTTTTTTTTGAAATCATAAAAAAGAAAGCCGATGTTCATTTATTAAGGTTTACTTATTTAAGGTTAAAATATTATTTAAAATATATAAACTGCTTCTTCAATACCATAATCATCTTCGCTTGAATTGTCATCATCCCTTCATCATCAACGTAATAAACTTCATTATTATTGCCACTCTCCATCACTATAATCTCTAAGGCTTCTTCCGATAAATGCTGCACTTTTTTGTGGAAATTTTCTTTTGGTAGATATAACTGATCTAAACGTTTCTTGAATATGTTTTGACTTCATTTTTTCTGCTGCGTTTGCAAGAAAAATGTTAGAAGTATTCTCCTGTATTGTCATCATTAGAATTCCCAAAACTAGGTTTCGGTTGGCCATCAATCAGACAAATTTTATCTTTAAAATCTTTTTGAATGCGGGCTTTATTTTCTAATAATTTCTCGCTCATTGTTCGAGCTTGCCGCTTTTTTTTCACACCCGTGAAGTATCGAAAGACCAAATAAAAATAACATTTTTGTGTAGTTGTTGTTTTTGTTAATGCGTTGCATACTTTTCCCTCAACTATAGCTAAAATCAAATTGTGTTTAACTTCTAAATATTTATTTCCATAAGGTAGAATTAACGAGATTTTGTATTTCTATACAAAGTCCTTCGTTTCTTTTCCAATTGCTGTATTTGTTCTTGTTCTGCCGTAAGAAATTCGTGTACACGTATGTTTGACCAAGCAGTTTGCATAAAGAAATGCATATACTGGGAAAGTGCGCAATATAGGTGCAACTTTTTTTATTTACAAAGAGATTCTTAATAGCCATAGATTATAGAAATGAAACAAGGTTTGCTTTATCCCGCTTAACTCACAACTATATGTCAGCAATGTCTGTATGTAAGGTCGAACCCCCATATTTTAAGGCTTTCGCGCAAAAAATAAATAAAATAAAATACTAAGAGACACGTATAAAACAAATAATATTACTTTGAATTTTTGCTAGATTTAGAAAAAATAAATAACTTTAAAATATTGAAAAAATCATGTATATCACTGTGTGCGCACAAAAAGAAATCAACTTGCAATATTCAGAAAGTATTGCAAGAAAACTGTACAATTTTTGGCAAATATTTGTTACGCAAGTGACGGGGTTTTTGAATTAATCTCCAAAACCGACACATTTTACCCTATACGTCGTCCGGATACTGCAGAAAGTATAGAGAGATGGGGTTGCTTATCATACTATGGATTTTAAACGCTGTATCTGATCAGCGGTATATTGAATTTGGAAAGTGACGTTAAAATATTAAAATCTTCATAATGCGTCATACTAAAGATTTACCTTTATTTATGCACAAAGCACAGAGCAAAAATTATGCGAAAAAAGATGATTGAGTGATAGAGGTTAGGTTTAGGTTCTATTTAGAATGGATTTTGCATGGACCAAATCTCAATCCTTTTGAACTTTTACGGAATCTGGAATATAAATCGCGAATCGCCTTTCAAAATGTCAAAGGCCTTCTAATAAACTATATCTATGGAGAAAAGTTGTGAAAATGCAGTGAGAAGGGCTGGTGAGCTCAATGCAACGAAATGCGCAACTTTTACGGAATCTGGAATATGAATCGCGAATCGCCTTTCAAAATGTCAAAGGCCTTCTAATAAACTATATCTATGGAGAAAAGTTGTGAAAATGCAGTGAGAAGGGCTGGTGAGCTCAATGCAACGAAATGCGCAACTTTTATCCGAACCGCAATTAATTACTAAGCTGCAATTTAATCAAGTATCCGGAGTATATGTATATATATACGTAATATATATATATATATATATACATTATATGCATATGTATATAATTCACGCTAACCGCTAAAGTGATTTTCGGCCTAGATTATCTTCAAATTGTGGTTGCCTACAGCTTATACTAAGCCGCCTCCGAATGGCTGATGGTTTTTATAAAGTGCTTTATTTCATGTTAGAAATACATTAATTTTCTATAAAGGCTAATTATTGAGCAACGTTATTTTTTCAGTGAAATATATACCACTCCAAAGGATTAACGCTCAACATTCACGAGAGCTATCACCTACAAGGGGCCTACACATGTCGGCAGAACCAAAACAGATATCGAAGGATAACAAGTATCGAAAACATTTATGCCAATTTTGTGGTTAGTATCTGATTTTTTGTAGATTTTGGTTTAAATATTTTTTTTTATATTTTCAAACCACTATTTTTTCAAGGCAAATGTTTTGATCGTCGTTTCCATCTTCTCAAGCACGAGTATGGCGTACATCGCACGGAAATCGAAAAGACAACGAAGGGAGGCGTTGATGCTTTACTTCGCTCCCGATTGTCCAGTTTTGACTCTAGCAGCAACTCAAATAAGTTTACAAAACTCAAATATATACGCCAGCGTAACTCTTCGCATGCTGCGCGCCAAAAACGTTGTATCGAAGATCTCGCACTCCTGCACGGTTTACAGCCTGGACAAAATATAAACAGTAAATTTCAATGTGAAGTCTGTTTGGCTGTGTTTATGTTCAATTTCGAGTTAAAATATCATATGCGTACTCACAAAATCAACACACTTACGCAAACTACGTTGTGCAAGGGTCTAGCTGATGAATGTATTAGTTCATTTTCTTCGGCAATGTCTTCATCAGTAGCACCAGATATTAGTATTAAACCCCAGGAGAAGCTCTTAGCTGAAACTGGTACAGAAAAGGAGGATATAAACGAGGAAAGAGTCATTCATGTCGTTTGCACTGGCAATGATGACGGTATTGATGGTGAAGATGAAGGTGATGGCGATGGTGAGCCTGTGAATGATAGTATAAAGCCTACGCATGGGCTCTCAAATAGCACCCCTTTAACTCGTGTGCCAGGTGGTGATGATCTAGATTTAATGGGTTTAGTTGCGCCCCGAATTTCGCCGAGGAGCTCATTGGACGCTAGTCCTGCCAGCAGCAATACTAGTTTTGATGTCAATTATGATGATCAGTTATATCTGAATGAATTCGATTTGGCTCTGTTGGATTGCAGTGGCGCATTTGATGGATATTAGTTGTCATTTCTCGTTTGGCATTATTATAGTTTTTTGTGAAAATTTTTTTTGCTTGTTTTCAACAAGTATGTGAATTTGAAGGGAACAAATATCATAGACTGAGTAAAGTGAAAAGCAATAGAAAGCCAATTGTAGCAATATTTTCTCTGTAAATTGAATAAATATTTTAAAATAAACACTAAGAAAATATAATAAATACGAAAATATCTATACATACTTTAAGTTAGCATTAAAAGCTTAAGTTTTAGAAGTTATTAATATTTATAATAATTTTTTAAGCATACAATTATTTTGAAACATAATAAATAGCATTAATGTATCTGCATTTTCCAAAAATTCATTTTCCATCAGCATCTATGTATGTAGAAGTACTTAACCTGCAAATAATCAAATGACTAATGATGAAATCATTGAAAAATAAATTTTATTAAATTGCTACACATACATATATTAGAAACAAGAAATTTTTTTTTCTGTTATGATATTAAGTTTGAAGACGACTGCAGGTATACGGCCTTTGAAAATAGCTGATTTTTGCGTTGGCTCTACGATAAAATGCTGCAACTACCCAACGCGCGTACCACCCGTCCATAGTAACCTATCTTATGAGAGCGCCATGTAAACACAAAGTTATCACCGCTTGCCCATGCCGTTAGTGACGGTGGCTCCGCAGAAACCAACGAAGATTTGATTTTTTCCGTAAAACCGGCTCGGCTCATTTTTCGTTGCTATACAAGGTTGCCAGTAAAGCCTTTCTTAAAGTAACATTAAATAATCGAAGATAATGCGTAGTTTTGTTCAAAAGAAATGAAAAATAACTGCCTAACTAATTATTTGTTACTATATAGATCATGTATATTTGCCTTGTGTTTATGTTCAAGCAAATAAATTATGAAATTTGTTGACGAAAATTATGAATTTGTTCAAAAGAGTGCAAACACACAGGCAGCTGGCAACATTTCGGCGCTCTCAGCAGCGTCGATAACTCGTGTATGTATCACGCCTTTTCGTCGCCACTTATGGACGGCTGGTAAGTGAAATGGGTAGTTGCAGCCTTTTTGTCGCCACTTATGGACGGCTGATACGCGCGTTGGGTAGTTGCAGTACAATACTTGCTCACACGGTAATCAGCCACGGATCAGGGATACGTTAATGAATGTTTCATGCGATGTGAAATCACTCAAAATATTTTCGTTCCTCTCTTTGTTGTCTTTCTCACTCACATATCACAGAATGCTTGTTCTAAGTTCTCAGTTGGCATATCAATTTTAGGAATGTGCAACAAGTGGTAGAAAAATGTATTTGTTGCCATATTTAAATATCGCTTTGGGTCTGATTGTCACATTTCAGTAAATCAAAGTACGTCTTTGTGAAAATGCGGCAGAGTCGGTCCCTGGAGTTTGCATCCACTTCACATCATGTAAAATTGTACAATTGTAATTATTTTATGTAAATGTTTTATAAAATAATTTTTTATCTCCATTGAAATAAATTATATAATGTGTATACGTGCATATGCACATTTAGGACTGTTGATTATGTGGTCCTATCCTCAATCAACATGCATATACACGTACATATGCAACTCAAAAATAGCAGAAATGTTGGCAGTTTGCATTCATACATATGTATGTTTTTTAAGTTCTCTGAAGTCGGTCAAATAATATTTTAGATTACTTTATTTATAAAAACTCTCCTACAATTTGTTTAGTTAGAAATATGCATGTTCATCTGGCAGCCTGGCTCACACTTTCTGCGCGAATGAGACAGCATGAGTACACTTCTTATTAGCTAAATGTGCAGCACTAGCGGCGGCAGCAGCCATAGGATATAGTTGTCAGTTTAGTTTCAGTTTAGTTTCTCCATTCAACGAATAATTTAAAATTTCAGTCTTATTTGATGTGTGATTCATACCAACGCGTTAAGTTGCCAATCCTGGCATCGTTAATTCTCGAGTGGTCAATGTGTTAGTAAGACAAGCTAGAAAGAAGAAATTGGTAAAATGTGCTAAGAAATTAATTACAAATAAAAACAATTACTAATGTAGATAGTTTCTATTAAAAATACAAATGAAAATGTAAATTAGTGCTTTCATTCTGGTTGCTATTATTATGTGATTGTGTTGTGGTTTGAAAATATTTGCATGCATAAATTCCGTCGCATATACTGGTATATTTGTGTGTGTATTTGTTTTCGATTCGTTATTTTATTTGTAGTTTGAGTCATAAGTAAAAGAAAATAAAAATAGTACTAAGCAAAATAGTGGCCTTCGGAAAATTGAATGCTCGTAAGTTTTGAGCAATTTTATTTTGTGAATGTAAGAATAGTGTTGATTACACGTATGTAGGCAGATAAAACCGGAAGTTTTTAAAGTGCTTAAAAGGGATAGAAATGTGTATCCAAGATCAAAAATCTTTCTATCTATCTGTTGAAATAAATAAAAAAATTAAACAAAAAATATAAAAGGCGATTCTAAAATATTTACTGCTCCTTTACACTGTATTCATCATCGTTGACATAGGTCATCTAAAGAGGTGTAAGACAGTAACAGAACGTTGAAGTCATTTTACGTTCTTTTTCTATAGATTGCAACGAAAATGCGGAGATAGCGAAGGAGCTAAAAGAATTAGGAACTAAATGAATATTGTCAGTAAGAAGTAGAAGAGCAATGTATGAAAAGTAGAAGCAACGAGTTGTTTACACATCCACAATCCAACCTGAGTTTTTATGCTCGTATTTCGACTTCCAATTGCTCTCATTTTAATTTCTCCTAACTTTTGTTTGCTCAAGTCGTACACACACAGATTATGCTGGCCGAAATGTTTTTATGGAACTGTGAACCGAGAGAAAGCAGGTTTTGAATTTGAAGCCAACAATTGAAAGGAGAAAATTATGTATTGCACGAAATGTGAATGCATGCATGATGATTTTTTACTATACATATATATTTATGTATGTTAGTTTTGACGGGTGCAAAGTTGTGATATAATGATGAAAACGAATTATTTTGTCGCAATTATGTGCCTACGAAGTTATTCAACGATTTTGCAAATTATCCCGACCATTCGTTCCACTATTGCTAGTAATACGTTAATATAATTCAACGAAACCATAATACAATTATCACAGCGTACAAAAATATAAGGAAAAAGTTGAAATAGTAAAAATAACAAAAAGTGACCAGAAAAACGTATTTACGAAAAGTCTAGTTGCATACTGCAACATATTCAGCATTTGGACACTTCAAATTGTAAATTGATTCTGAATTCTCAGCATTGCTGGCTGTTTAGCTTGGTTCTTTTCGGAATCCTAAACCAGTAATTTGCCCCTTGTGCACCCTATTCTATACATAAGTTGGGCAATAAATAAGACCAGTATTCTAAACCGAAGCTACAATATTTATAGTTTCTACCTTTTCCGGGTGATTTCGTTTGCTGATTGTTGGTGTATTTTTTGACAACATATTGAAGTTTCTTTTCCCCAAACTATTAATGGAATAATTATGTCATGGGATCGTGCACGCGACGACACTTTATGCTGTCAACATGCTTATTGCAAATGGTAAGTAATAAAAAAGATTATGTCATGGTTATTTGTAGCCAAATTAAGTTACAATTAGTGTATAAGCAAATCGACGCACCATGCCTCAATTAAATATATTTAATGGTCATTTTTATTGAATATTAATATAATTTCTTAAAAATAAGTAAATATGTACATAAATATTGATAGGATTTTACTAAATCAACCTCGATTATTTTCTAGATCCTTCGGGTACGATCTCTGGATTGTTAAATAAAAACTCGCCAACTTAATTTGCAGTTTCTTTGTTATAAAGATTCTATCTAATGTCCTTTATTTTCTCAGTAATTCACAATTCAATTATACTGCACTTTACTATTTATAATCACTAACATCAACTTTCACAATTTACTCTACTTAAATGCAATTCCCAACGCGTTCACTTTACGATTTCACTAATGCTAACGCCAACCAGTTCGCTTTGTCACTAACTTGACTTGCAGCTGAGTGTCGCCTTTATATAGCAGTCGGCTGCTCGCAGACGAAAGCGTAGAAGCATCAAATTGTTCGCTATGGAAGGTTCTTGTTTTATCGTTTCTAGAATGTACTAGTTATCGGCTTCTCTCTTTCATCTGACATTCGCCTCGCATTTTCGCAACAATATATATATTCTATTACTACAATTTGTCGGGTCAGTGAAGATTAAATAAATGTCCCTCTTCGTATGGGTCCTAAAGGTAGTGGAGTAGCTGATCGCAACTTTCGTTCCAGAGAGGGAGTAAATCCTGGCTACATATGTATGTATTAAAATATATCCTTAAAAGTGGGAAAAATACTTCACCACGACTTTACAGAAGAGGGAGTAGATTCTCAGCAGGAGTAGCTCAGAATTTTCTCCCGATGCCTATATAGGGAAAAGTAACAAATACATTGTTTTTTATCACATCTCATCTTATACGAAGATTTTTGTAGTGTTGTTTTTTTATAGTTGTATTCCAAATTAATCATACAATAATTATCAAAAAAAACTTAGCTATACAATTTTCTATTAATAACAACTTATATTTCTTCATTTAAAATTCACCATTTCACTAACAAAATCAAGATTTGAAAACAACAAAAAAAAAAATACCGGGAAATTATTTAGAAAATTCGCAAAAACTGTTGAAGATAGTATATATTAGTAAATATTTTCAAGAAATATTTTCAAGAAATATTTTTAAGAAATATTTACTGCCATTTGATAAATTTCGAAATAATTTAAACTATTTTTGCGCATTAGCTTCTTTTTTTGGGTAGCAATGATAGTTTACAAAACTTTTGTTTTATCTTTTTAATCGAAATTTTCTCAGTTATTGTTGTTTTTGTTGTAGCGGATATCCAACCACTAAGGAGCAATCGAGATCGTCTAGTCATCAAGGTTATCCTTATTGCATAGCGGACATACTTTGGGTATGTCGAGATTCTGGATAAATAGGATTTATGTCGACTACAATAACCAGATCGTAATTGTGAAAGTATTACTCTAGGTTGCACGAGCTTTTCATCTACAATGCGCGCACCGCTTATAGATTTCGCGATCGCCATTCGCTGGAAGAGAGTTCAAGCCTCAGCCTCATGTAACCCGTCTGTATAAAATTGAATCGAGGCGGTGCACGGTGGTATTATTCTGTCCCAAAAAACAGAGTGTTAGTTGTCGGAATTTTTATGTCATCGACATTTATAACGAGTTCGAACCAGTAAATCTTCGTCCACCTGGTGAAAAGAGTTGCCGAAGATTTTCCGGGCAATAGATGGAGAGATATGATAAGAGGCACATATGATTCTTCCTTGTTGGCTGGTTTCCCGTGTTTTAGCAACGGTACCACTCTTCCAATTTTCCACATGTCGGGTAATATTAAGGGGGACAAAAACAGATTGAGGACCTTGGTGAGGTAGTCTGCTGCACCAGGTCCCAGGTGTTTCAACATCATCATGGTTATTCCGTCGCAGTCGATGGATTTGGAGGATTTCGGTTGTCGAACACCCCTTGAACACCTTGCCTGGATAAATGCAGCGCTGGTGTTTGGTAGTTTGCGCAGACGATGGTTAACTTGTCTCTCTGTCTATCACAGGGTACAGTGTAAAAAGTAAAAAGTCGTCCAACGAGGCACGATTTGACTGTGATCCAAAGGAGGGGTTGCTGGACCTTAACTGTTCCTCTCACAAGTCAGTCAACTTTTATTGAGTTTTCTTATCAGGGGCTTTTCGGGACCGCTTTGACGTGTGGTCCCATGATAGAGTCACCATAGGTCGACAAGAGCTGTTGCGATTACCCACATTTTTGGAGGGGGTGGCGTCGAACGAATGCCAAAAATTGTGGTGCATGTTAAAGTCGCCGAAAACCAAACGGTTTTAGCCTCTGGATAGCATACTTATATTAAAAGGGTATCCAACTGGACGATAACTAAATGAAGGGATTTGTATATACATATATGTGCAAGTGAAGGAACCTACAGTTTATTTTAAGCCATCACCGAGTAGCAGATAATTTTTTGTGAACAGCTTTTATTTCAGATCAGGGGTGGGGAACGATTATTATTTTTAATTGAGGTGGTGGTAAAGTCAGAAGTGAGTGAAAAGCCGTTAGATATACAAAATATATGTATGTATGTAATACGCGCTTCCAATTTGTGGTATGCGTTTAGATATTTTTCGAATAGTAAGCCGCCTCCGAACGGCTGATTCTTTTATGAGAAATTCACTCTTAATTATAATTAGTGGAAATTTGCACGTAAAATTAATGCTTTACTTTCTACGAGACTCGCAAACATTTCCTTTTATTTTCTTTTTGCTTTGCGTCTATTTATTAAAAGTGAAAGCCTGACATCTATTGCTTGTAATCAGCTGTTTTCTTTTACTGGTGGCAACATAACTAATATTTTAAGCCTAAGTAAAGATGAAGTGTATAAATTAATGAATGCATTTCTAAAGGTTTATAGATTAAATGCAGCGAAAATACTTGGCTGACGTCATATTACAAATCAAAGAGCCCGCTTGCAAAAACTGGCAAGCAAAATATTGGTAGCCAATAGCTGATCGCCCGTGGAGACATGAAGTAAGATCATGTTATGCTATTTGTATTGTGTAACGAGTTTTTTCTCGCGACTGTTAACAATGCATACAACGCGTTCCTTATTCGTTCTCTTACTTCGGTTTTCGGCGTAATCTTGTTGATATATATTTCTTTCCATTTCATTTGTAGTTACTATTCCTGCGAATGTACTGGAATGAGGATCACACAGGGCTTTAAATCAGTGGCTTTACCATGACAGTGTAAATTCATTATGTGTAGTATAATAATCACTATGTTGCTCATGTGTTATAAGTTTCTTTATATAGTACTTATAGTCCTAAAATTTTTATTTTCTTCATAGATATATGCATTTCCTAGCCTGGGATATTATATTTTAATTTAGTTTTTAAGATTTGAGAACTTATTGTGAGGCTTCAGATATCGAAGTAGTTTCTGTAAATAAATACTGTTGGCAAATAAAAAATATAAAACATTATAGTTTTTAAGTACCTGTAGGTCGGTTTGTGCTGATAATTGAACCAAAAATTTGATATACATATGTATATAGATAACTTATATATATTGACTCAACATAGTGGATTTAAATTTAAAATTTTGATTATGATAAATACCTGAAACGTCTAGAATTTCGCTACAGCTATTAATTAATTAAGTGACTTGTTCATTAATTGGTTATAATATAAAAAGTTCAAATGTTCGTAGTTCAGAGTTCAGTTTTAGTTTAAAACTTGTGCGAGTTCTTAAGTAAGAGAACAAAAATAAGTGCATAACCACATGCTTACGCGTATATATTGCATGTTTGTACAGTTTGGCAAGAAACACTTTTCATATCGAACTAAAAGTTACTTTTCCAGTATAGTATTTTTCAATTACATGATAAAAATACCGCCAAACACTTGCAATTGAGTTAAGGTTGGATCCTTTGCTAGAATCTCACCGGAAATAATAATCGATTATTTTTTAAAATTTTTAGTCAGAAATATGTTTTCGATTTTAATGATACAGAAAAAATGTCAACTATAGGGTCCTCTATCTTTTATGCCGGTATGTTTGATCTGTTGTAAATTTGCCCAACTGTCAATTGGACTGCATTAAAGCTAAAATACGGCCCGATTTTTCAGGTGGTCGCACACAGGAAAATTTTCTAACCATATTAAAGGGAATGCCAAAATAGTGCTAAATTAAGAAATATTGCAAGCAAAGTTAAAAGATAGCAGTACTTATCTTCTTCTAATATAGGAAGCAGAAAAGGTTTGTAAAAAGTTTTTGACAGTTTCAAAAACGAATAGTTCTTGGGTTTTGATTTTTTTGTTACATGTTTTATCATTATCTTCTTTTTCACAAATTAATTTAAAGAGCCTGAATAAGAAAGTAGCATTAAAAAACATTAAATTGCCTGAATGCTCGGCTTTTTTGGCTGTAAGAATAACAAATATTGTAGTAAAGCAATGAAAAATGTAAAAGAAGCAAAAGCGAACGTCTTTAAGTTCTAAGTATATTCAATTCCAGTACCACAATAAATAACAAAAAACGACCCAAAGGAAGTAGCAACAATAGTGTCTACAGCATGGAATTGCAGTATGACACAATTTTAAATTACTTAGTTTTTTGTAATTGTTGTATTTTTTATTTGATCGTCATACCTATGCAAAACTTTCTGGACCATATAGTCCATTGGAGTACTCCTCTGTAATGCGGCGGTGGATAAAATCATTGCTCTTGATTTATTAATCGCAATCACTGCATGAAGTTGCAAGTGACAAACAGATTTTATGGTTTTGGTCACAACGTTAAATGGATCATATTTTTGAATGGATTGTGATTAGTTTTTTGAGTATATATATAACACCATTTCACTGTTCTGTTACTCGCTCCATTCATTCGCAGCTCGGAGTGGAAACGTGAAAACATACACACCAGGCGAGGACGAGCTGGAAAATACGCATGCATGAACATACATACA